CCTGAACTAAGAAATATTATGATTGAAAAAATAACTATTTTTTTTTTTAAAAAATATTTATGTGTTATTTCTCATGAGTATATTTAATTAGAGCAATTAACCTTATAAAATATATGAAATTATTAATTAAATTAAAATTAAAATAAAATCAATATGAAAAACAAAACTGTTGAATATCACTTCCTTCGATATCAAAATATTCATCCACAAATGAATGTAATGCATCGCGATCATTAATGGTAATTTGATTAGGAAATTTTTGATTAAATATGCTAATTATCTCTTCCGGTTCTTTTTTAATTGGTTTATCCACAAATGTTTTAGAATCTTTGAAGATATTACTTAATGATATAGCATGTAATAGTTCACCCTGACAATAAATCATATAATTTGGTGAATTTTTTTCATCACATGGATAAATCGGTGATGCTACCGCGGTACTTGTAATCATTTCTCGATTGGGTAGCAAATTTTGTTGTCGTAAATTGGTATTTATTTCAGTATTAGTTGCTATTAATGTCATTTCTTTAGCTTTCTTCTTGCCTTTTACTGCTTTTACCATAATTTTGCTAATAATTTGACGATCAAAATTTTCATTTAATGTATAATAATCCAGTGGTAGATAATAATTGAAATTGTAATCAATTATAAATTGAATTGTAAAAAATAGCCATGACATTTTACACATTATCAAATAATTTTCCTGAAATAATCACCAGAATACAGTATGATTCTTATAACAACCAGAATACAGTATGATTCTCACAACAACCAGAATACAGTATGATTCTTATAACAATCAGAATACAGTATAATTCTTAACCAGAAAGTATTGATAGATTCATTGTTTAACAGTTCGTTCATCTTTCGACGTTAAAATTTGAATCTCGAAAAGTACTAAAATTATATCCCTTCTCAAAGTTTTAATTGAAGTATATTTTTAAATTAACAGAATTTAGTTATTTTTTGAATCTGATGAACAAATGCTACAAATTGAAAAGGAAATGCCAAAATGGTCTATGGTAAATGGTAAAGGAAAGGTATATGGTAAAGGAATAGTCTATGGTAAAGGAAAGGTATATGGTAAAGGAATGGTCTATGGTAAAGGAAAGGTATATGGTAAAGGAATGGTCTATGGTAAAGGAAAGGTTAGAAAATTACTATCACCGTAGAATTTAAAATTATTTATTCTAGCTTAAAATGCTTTATCCTATGAGTAATATTGAATTAATTAATAAATTTATTATAATATTAATAAATTAATTATTAATAAATTTACTTTAGCTTGTTAGTTTTATTATGCATATGCAAATTTTCATTTTTCCACTTCATTAAACATTGGTTTTTCTATCCTTTTTGTTTTTCATATTGAAAAGAAAAACTTATCGTTTAAGTATAAAAGTAAGCATAAAATAAGAATATTTGTAATTGTATAAATATTCAAATAACTTTTTACGCTTTTATTATACATTAAAATATGAGAGGAAACAAACTTTTAAATATCTCAAAAGAAGTGATACTTTTATTTTTTTCTCGAAAAAATATTTAATTCACCTTGCAACCACTCCCAATTCGATAATTTAAATTTTTCAAGAATAATTTACAGTAAAAGCGAAAATATCAAAAGCAGCCGAACGCAATGAATGATATATCAAAGACTGTTCATGTTACTTAATATATATCAATTTAAATTTTAAAATTATTATTCAAATTTCATCAATTCTTCAAAAACAGAATGAAAGATTTCTTTATTATTAAAAAAAATTAAAGTACCATTTATTAATAGACTGATAATAACTTCGTACAATTCCATATATGAAATACATAGATTTATGGATATTATCGTATCATTTCCTTTTTTTCTAAATTTTAATTACGGTGCAAAATTATGGTACAAAAAAAACATTTTTCAAATTCAAATACTGCTTGGAATTTTTATTTGTTAATCTGCAAATCATTTTGATAAAATAATTTAAAAAATTGATAAATGCAAAACTTTTTGCTTTTATGAATTGAAATATTTACTTTGAATTTGTAAGTAAATTTGCAAATTACCCATTTTTTAAATAAAAATTATGAAAATCAAAAAAATACAATCATACTAAGTCAATAACGTGCATTTGTTTGAATTCTAAAATATTACTTCTCCATAAAATGCATACTTTCAATTTTCTACGAAGTTAAAACGATAATTTATTACTGTATATGTATATACATGATTACTGTATGCATACAATAATCAAATATGGTATATTATTATATGCAATTTTTATATATCTTTGTAAAAAGTATTCATAATACTTTTACAAATGTAAATTTTGCAAAATGCAAATTTTTTTTCGACTCATTTATAAGAAAGTATTGATAATAAAAAAATCATTTATTGTACAGTATTTCTAATTTGTTACACGATTGAATCGACTAATCGGTATGTATATTTCAAAATAATACTCAATGAAAACCTTACAGTACTCCATTTTAATGATGTATGAATAAATAAATTGTTAAACATGATTACAATTTCTGCAAATTTACGTAGTTTGTCTTATAATTAATTAGCAAATTTATAAATATATTAAAAATTTATTGCAAAAAAAAGAGGAAGGAAGCATATTTTATTTAAAAAGCTCATAAATTACAGAAAGTTTATCATAAGTTAGCAACAGGAAAGTTTATTACAAATTGATAATGAAAGAGCTTATCATAAATTTTATTTAGTTGATATAAAAGAAAAGTGAAAAAAAAAAATTTTTATGCGAAAAAAGCGATCGATTTAATTTTCATGTTGATAAATATTCAAAAAAAAAAAAAAAAATCTTCTGTTGGTGATAACAGATTATTCAGTAATCAATCAATAATCATTTATAATGAAATTTAAATTATCTGATTTATTTTTAATTTATTCATTTCTATACAAGTATCTAAATTATCAAAGTGATATTATTTGATTAATTAAGAGACAAATACATCAAAATTTCAGGATGGAAAAACAAAAACTTATCCGGAACATACTTATAACATTATTATTACTCATAATCATTGCAATAATAAGATATAAATATTATGGAACAATTATGATAAAATTAACAGCAATTGAAAAAGAAAATGATCCGGAAAAGGGATGGCTTAAAGTAATGATTGAATCCGGAAAATTCGGAATATTATTCATAAGGGAAAAATTGGATTTATTAAATGAAACAAAATTACAAATGATACCATTTATGAAGCAACATCTTGCTGCTATTGATTTCATACATACAGCATTATTAGCATGTCGAGCATTACAAAAACGTGGTGGAATAACAGGAATTAGTAATATTGATATGATAAATACTACTATCACAATTGATAACATTGATAATAGTGGTAAAATAATTGATATGAAAAATTATGAAAATAAAATTATGAATGGTAAAGATGATAAAAGTAAAAGTAATGATAATGATATTGCGATGATGTTAAGAACAGAAACAAATGATGATAAATATATTGGAATACCAAGTGATGAAGATGTGATAAGTAATACGATTGAAGTACCAGAATGGGCATGTAATGAGAAACATTCACCAAATTATATCATTTATTGTCAGGGTGATTTACTTCATACCGTAATGATGCTTAATATTTTTAAAGATTCTAAAACATTTGTTGATAAACCATTAAAACGTGATCCTGCTGAAATTGCGGCAGATTTTAAGAAAAAATTTTCACATAATATTACGGTAAATGATCGTGAAGCAGTACGACGATTTATTGATGAAAATTTTGACGATGAAGGACATGAATTGGAACAGTATGCATTAATTGTTTATATTTTTTTCATTTTTATTTAATTAATTTTTTAAATTTTCATCATATTTTCATTTAGTTATTTCTCAATAAAACTATGATTAAAATTCACAATTGTGATATATATATTGATATTGTAATATCGATATCATTAATAACAATATATTATAATATCAATAGATACCACAATATATCATAATAATATCATAATATCATTATTATAGTTTATAATTTATTTAATTATTTTTTTCCTTTTTTTTTCCTTTTCTTAATTATTTAATGGTAATCATTATTGTTATTCAAATATTTATCTCATAAATTTTCACACAATCATTTGTTAATGTTATATTTTTCATCATCCATTTTAGAAATATTTATTAGGATTGATTTTAATTTTATTAAGATTTTATTCAACTTTTCAAAAAAAAATTTTTCAAAATTTTTATACAAATTTTTTTTCCAATTCTTTTCCAAAAGTTTTTATTCGATTTTATTCAATCTTTCAAAAAAAAAAATTTATTTACTTTTTCATATTTGTAATATATTTTAGGAAAAGTTGGATGAAATTTTAATAAAAATTTTAAATTAGCATAAATGATTTTGTGAAATTGAATTTCTTATCGTACAACAAACAACCCATTCATATATTTTCAATAGTTGCAAATTTAAATAATTTACTTATTTGAAAATATTTTCTAAAAAAAGAAAGTGTTAGAATTAAAATATATATAAACAATAAACAAGCAATAAAATTTTGAAAATTATAATTATTTCTTTTAAAATTAACTTTAAGAGTTTGAATAAATGTTAAAATTATCAGATTTCTATTAAGGTTGAGAATATTAATTAATTAACGAACATACTTTTTCTTCTTAATAGATGTGAATTAGTGGATTGGGAAGAGCAACCAGAGAAACTCTTATCAATATCAGATCCACAATTACGCCAATTTGCATTAAATGTTAATTTGATTTGGAAAAGTTTATGTCGAACAATTAAAAAGGAAGTAAGAAAGAACAGCGAAGAAAAAAATTTGTTAAATTTTAATTTTAAATTTATAAAAAATTTTCGAAATTTTAAACTTTAACTTTTTTATTCAATTTCTTTCCAAAATTTATCTCTATCATATTCATATAAAAATTAATTAATATATTCAAATATCTAATGGAAATTTTTAAATAATATTTTAAAAAAGAAGCAAAGAAAGCAAAAAATAGTGAATAAACCAAAAATAACTCCTCCTCTTCATTTGCATAATTAAGCTAACTTGGTAAATTTCAATTTGAGGTTATGAAATATCCCGAACGTCATTCATTACTGTATGTACCATATGAATTTATTGTTCCCGGTGGTCGTTTTCGAGAATTTTATTACTGGGATACTTATTGGGTTATTAAAGGTCTTCTTGCTTCAGGTAAAATGATAGTATTGATAAAATAATCTGATAATTAAATTAGATTATTTCTTTTAGAGATAAAAATTTTTTTGATAAATATTTAGGAATGCAAGAGACATCACGTCGAATGATTCTTAATTTTGAATATTTGGTAAAAAAAATTGGTTTTATACCAAATGGTGGTCGAGTGTATTATTTGCGCCGATCACAACCACCATTTTTTATTCCAATGGTTTATGAGTATTATATGGCAACAGAAGATGATGAATTTTTACATTCCACAATGGATACTATGGAAATGGTCAATTTTTCTTTTTTAATTTTAGTAAAATTTTTTAGAAATATTCGATGAATAATACATTTTTCGAATTTTCAATTTTAATTTAAATTTTTAATATTTCATTTGGCTAGTTTCTTTCCCTTTTTT